GCTGGAGCCCCCAAGCGGAGTCCAGCAGTCCCTTCTTCCCCCTCCCTGGCCTGTCTGCCTGGGCAGAGGCCACACTGCTGCTCCCCACACACTCCCAGCAGCTTTGGCGGGTTCCTGCTGGGCTACTAATGGTCTGCACTTCAACTTCACAGCAACACTTCCCTTTCCTCTCCCCAGGCCCTGGCAGGATGATGCTGGGCCAGAGGAACCTCTGCACAGATGCTTCTGCTTCTCCCAGAGACCTCAGCCGGCAGAGCCCCAGCCGGGTCACCCCGGGAGCCCCTCGCTGTGGGGGGCCGAGGAGCTGGCCCAGCAGCTGCCCCCCTGCAGCTCTGCCCTGGGGGCAGCACTCACCTGGCCCCGGCCTCAGTTCGCATTTCTCTGGCGGACGTTCTTGTCCTTGTGGTTTGTGGCATTGCTCTTCCTGGAGAGAGAAAAGGGGCAGTGAGGAAAGAAAAGGCACAAAGCCCCACCCTGCCCACTACTGTAAATTGGGTACAAACAGATGCTCAAGACAAGGTGAGATGTTACCAGAACAGTATCAGTTTGAGGCACTGGTGCTTCCAACATCATCCCCAACTATGTGGGGTTTACAGGCATTCAATGAACCATGGGGCAAGTCTCCCACCCAATAAGGTACCGCTTTATTCCCACACCAGCTGCTGTTCTACTTGGAGCAGACTCCCCAGATAGACATGATCTGCCAGGACGAGTCTGGCTGAAGAGGAAGGAGGAAGGTACTTACAGTGGTGCAGAGCCTCCATCGTCATCTTCACAGTCAGGACAACATAGAAAGAAAGGACAGTGTCAGGGAAGAGCATGTACAAAGTCATCTCTGCCACCTCTCAAAACTCCGGGGACTCCATTCTGGACAGGGTACAGCCACAGGGATACTACTGCCTGCACAGGACCAGACCCAAAAGGTCACCTCACCCACAGGGCTCCTGTTTCGCCAGGGCCTGGCAGGGCAGGGGCTGCTTCCTACCAGAACACACCATCCCCAAGTTCAGAGCTTAGACAAGGCCCAGACTTGAGCATAAGCCCCATTACGCAGTTGCTTCTGCTGGCCCAGGGCAGGCACCTCACTAAACCCGAGACCACCTCAGGAGGCCACAGAACTAGACCTACAACTGCTCGGTGGGCACCCGGCAGCCTCTGCTGGATGTCTGTGCCCTGCGTGCCCTTGGCACACTGGCCAGTCTTCCACGTGAAACCCGAGGGGGATGTTTCAGGAATGAGGCTTTAAGGAGCAGCAGCAGCCCCTTCTCCCTCCCCCCCCCCGACACATGCCCTGAAATCAAAATAAACACACTGCACACCACATTCTTGCTACACAAGGAAGCATAGCTAAGAAAACACCTCTGCCAACACGTGCCAAGCCCTGGGGCCTTTCACCAGCTCCTTGCAATCTGCCACCTTCCAGCAGAAGGGTCCCCACTATCTCCTGCACAGTCCAGGCTCCCCACAAACAGCTCTAAGCACTGGGACTGCCCTGGGCACGGAGATCTGCATGCAGCTGGTGAGAGGATGGGTGCAGAAATACAGCTGGAACCATCTTCTACTTACCATGTGAGGTGGCACCAGCAGCAGAGAAGGGAAGAGTGGAAAGGTAACACCAGCAAGGGTATCAACCATACACAAGCCAGGCTCTCCCCATCCCAGGTACCAGGGAGCAGCCAATTCACAACCAGGACCATGAGGGATAGCATTTGTCCAAGCTGTCCCTTATTGTCACCTCCTCTTAAGAAGGGCCAAGGGACAGACTTTTGGGGACAGAGAGCCACTTTACACCAGGAAAGCGTGAGGCTGTGTATGTCTGTCAAACAGGTACCATGCTGTACCCTCATCCACAAGCACTTGGGAACCTGAGCTTCAGAGCTCTGGCCAAAGAGCATCAGGACACTACAGTAACATGTCCTGTTGTCTGTCAAAGCATCTGATGGAGCTCTGATGGGTCAGCACTGATGTGATCTGGACAAGGCTGATGGCATCAGAAGCCAGATCACTCAACACACACAGGCTATCTTTTTTCCGCTGGAAGATGCAGCTACAACATCCTTCAGCAGCCGCCTCCCTCCCAGCCAGGAGCAGCCGAGGGCAAGCACCTGGCCCTAGAGCTGCCCTGAGCAGAGCTGGGGCCAGGGAGGGATGTTTGGTTTCGGTCCCTCCACGGCGCCCCAGGCTCAGCAGCTGTGCTGTTCCCAGCAGCAGGAAGGATCCGGAGCACTCCCGCTTCATTGTTGCCGGGATCTGATAAGGGAGGGGCAGCTGGGCCAGCACAATGCAGATCCTTCCCGATAAGGAAAGGGAGGAGCTGAGACTTCCAGAACAGATTAAAGATAGCACTTGGCTTTGAGATCCAGGATGTGTGGATCTGAGTACCCCAACAGATCCAGGAGCTGAACCTGAATTCAGCTAAGTCTGGTTTTACGGAGACACCCACACAGGCCCCCAGTTTGGCTGCACCAGAAAAGCTCCACTACTGTCTCAGAAATCAACTTCTCCAGAATGTCAACTGCTAAACCCTGGTCCTGCCGACGACCACGTGAAGCACTTGAGCAAAGTGCAGAGGAACTGGTGAGACAAAGGGTCAGGCTGACCTGCGCTGCATCTTATCTCACTCTAGATCCAAAGCACAGCTGAAGTACTCTCACAAACAGCAAAAATACTTGCAGCTTTATGGCTGAAGTAGTGTGAAGGCTATCACTGTTTTACAAGAAGTGCCCTCAAGAAGCATCCCTCAAATTAATGCCCATCCGGTGAAGGGAACCCCAAGTTCTCTGTGAGAACATTCTGACATTTACCTACAAGTAACTTGGTCTCCCCAGAAAGATTTAACCCCGGACACCTCTTACCATCAAGAACCTCGTCTGGCTTCCTCCTCTTCTCATAGATGAAGATGATGGTGACAAGGACGAGGACTTCTGCCACAATCCCCAGGAAGGGCCAGAGCGCTGCCAGGCGGCTGCGCACGTGCAGGTTCACCACAGCAGCACCAGTGCCGCTGGCGTTGGTGCCGTTGCAGTAGTAGTCACCCTTGTCCTCCTCCATGTTCAGCTTAAGAACACGTAACTCTGTCTTGTTGCCAGTGGACTTGATGATGTACCGGCCAGACCCGTTGACGATGTGCTGGAGGGAGAGGCAGAGAGCAGGGCTGGCGTGGGGAGCTCACGTACCACTGCAGAAACCCCCCTTGCCACGGCACTGAGGAGGCTGCTCTGAAAGAGCCAATTCTGACAGGACAAGGTCCTCCCCTCTTTGCTGGGAAACAGGGGATGCAGCAGAAAGAGCATCAAGCCTGAGCACTTACCTCTTGACCATTTTTGTACCAGGCCCAAAAGGCGACTGGGGGGAAAGAGGGACTCTTGCAGATCAGCACGCCCGTGTCCCCCTCGTTCCCGTTCTCAGACTTCTTGTACGCAACCACCTGGGGTGGAACTTCAGCAAGAGCAAAAGAAAACCAGACGCCTCGTTATGGAAAACGTGGAAGACGTGTACTCCCTACAGCCCACCTGGCCAGAGCCAAAGTTACCCATCGAGCCTGACTTCAGCTGAAGACATGCATTAGTGGGCCTGCTCCCCCTTGCCCATCATCTGGCATGTCAAGCTGCTTTGAGAAAGACTCAGACAATTTGTACACCAGAAATTATCCCTTTCCCATTATTCCTGTGAGAACGTACCCACAGCAGAAGGCTGATTAAATACAAGGTCCAAGAGTTGACCCTACAGACACTTCATCTGCCTGGCAAGATGGAGCTGCCTCATGGAGCAAATCTGGCAGGACATGTGTAGAGTCCTGCAGCCCTATTAGTAAGGGCTATAAAAGCAGCAAGTTGAAAAGACACCAAAGCCAAGTGTTCAGGAGATCACAGCTTCCCCACTCCCCTCCTCAGACCCAGAAGCAAACGTGAGAAGTTACCTGAAACACTCACTTCTCCTTTTATCACGGGGCTTGTTTTGTAGACACATTCGTAGACGCCAGAGTGCTCTTCCACCTTCCCCTCGATTCTACAAAACAAAAATAGGATGTCAGAGGAGCATCCAGCACAACTGACTGACCCACAAACAGAGACCAGACCCCAGGCCCAGGGACACAGCCACTGAAACTCATCACAAGTCTCCTCCACTGGCAACTCTCCCCATCCTAGCACGAGGCTGACCCACGTACCTACAGCCACCCAGCCCTCCACCTTCTCTCCCCACAGAAGATTTCACACACACCAAGTCTAGCTCGGGTCTGTCAAGTCAGTGATCACTGTGACCTCCTGATCTTGTGTCCCGAATCCCAAAACCCAGCAGCTTTCACCCCCTAACCCAAACCACTCTTGCCATCAGGATGTCTACAGAGAGAACAAATTTAAGACCTAGCCTGTGAGCTAGTTTAGCTGAAGGAAACCAGGAGCACCAGGACAACATCACACCCTCACCAGGAGCAGTGCCATGTGTACACTTCAGAAGTGGCCAACTCCATGCTCTTCCCTCTTCCATACAGACCCCAGGCTCATTAAAAAAAAAAACCACACACACAAAATCACACCCTAATGAGTGAAGCTGACAGAATCTGAGGTATGGCAAGAGTCCATACACCTCATGTAAGGCATCAGCCCTGGAGTTCACCTCTACAGGAGGCAGGCAAGGAGCTTAGGACTACAGATTCAAAGGTAAGCCCACTAAACACGTGGCAAAGTAACCCCCAGGCTGAGTTCCTCTGGGCTGACCCAAGCGTAGGGAGAACTCTCCCATTTTCATCTTTGTAAAGCTGCTGCAATGAGATTTAGTGGATTATGCTGCACTGCACGAACATCTCATGCTGCAGCTCAGTGGTACCCACTGGAGGGAAGGGGCCAGCAAAGTTCTGGTCCCGTGGCTGTGCTGGGACAAGAGGCCGTTGTTAGCTCTGCTGTGCACAGCGCTTCCCACTTCCAAAAACCACTCAGCTAAGGAATTGAGGTCACACGAGGGAGGCTGGGTTATAAATACTTTAATCCTTGTTCAGCTCCCTGTTGCTATGGGGAGACAGGCACGTCGGCACTGCCACACAAAAGGACATGATGCCTCCACAGCTGCTGGGCCAGAGCCAGCGGGCCCGACTGTAATCAAAGAGGAAAGCTCACGGCACGGGCGCAGTGCGGCTGGGGCTGGGGCTGGGGCTCCTGCTCCTGCCCAGCTCTGCCCTGCAAACAGCTCCAGAGCACTGACCAGAACTTGCAGGCGGCTCCCCAGCCTGTTCCATAAGAACGGGTGGACTTTGGAAAGGTACATTAACCCCACAGGCAGAGGCAGCACACGGTGGAGCCTCTTGTTCCACACACGTCCTCTGGGGAGCAGGGAGCTGACGTGGGAGCTCTGGGAAGTGGCTCCAGCAGAGTGATGTCAGTGAGCCCCAAGCACGCTGCCCCCACCAACCGACCAGCCGAGTCCAGCTGAACGCCTGCGTAAAAACTTCTCCTACTAAGACAGTATTTGTGGCATATAACTTGCCCCTCCTCCTCATAAAGGAGAAAACGTTTGGCCTTACCAAAACTTTGTTTAGCTCATGTTATATTCTGAAGTTTAAAAGCCAACATTTCCAGCAGCACTTCAAGCACTCATCTCGGGGTTCTGCTGACAGGAAACGTTAACTGCCTCTAGTAAATAACCCTGCCCCCCGTGTTCCCACTGCTCTCTGGCCTCGCCGACACTCACGTGTAACTGGTGAAGGTGCCCGACTCCGTGTCTGCCTGCAGAACCTTGTCCCCGTGGATCCACTCGTGGCCCTCGATGGCGGGGTGTGGAGCAGTTATGTTGCAGTTGAGGACCGTCTTGCCAGAGACGAGGGTTAGCCAAGAATTGATCTCTGGACCTGCATTCACAAATAATTTGACCAAAATTAGCACGTGGAATTCCAGAGGTCGCGTGCCTGCCCGAGAACCTTCAACACGAACAGCTCCCAATCCCACAGCTCCTTGTCTCTGTCGCAGCTTTCACTCACCTCCGCAAGGACTCTCCTGCCAGAGCTGATGACAGCAGCACAGGGGCCTGGAGAGGCAGGCGACAGGGCCTGGCCGCACGCAGCGACTGCTGCCTGCTCTGGGCAACTCTGAGCCTCCTGCTGTCCCTGCAATGGGTGCTGCTCCGGCAGAGCCAAGTGTTCAATAAGCAATGGAAAAGGTCACACTCTGAAGGGCAGAGTACAGCTCTCTGCTTTTGTGAGCCTCTGCAGCACTCACCGTGCCACCACCTTCCAGACACCTCCAGGAAGGTCACGGGTGGCACTCGAGACCCTCCCTTGCGAGGGGCTGCAGACGAGACCGCGTGCCAGCGGTACGTGCCCAAGAGATTACAGCCAGATTACTCCAGGGAGACCACACAGAACCATGGCTCCGGAAGGTCCTGGGCCTTCACGTGCCAAGCAACAGTAAATTATGCAATATAAAGATGACTCGGGGATTTCTGCGGGTAGGAGGCAGCCCCAGAACGCTGCTGCCACGAGCGGCACCATGACACAGACCTGGGGCTCTATGGTTCCTACCCTTCACCTAACAGCAATCTCTTGGAAGGAACATTTTTTGCACAGAGCTGACAGGGATTTTGCTTTTCCTTCTACCCAAATCCCACTGAAGAAGACTGTGCTGGAGTTGCTTGTTCTGTAGCACGTTTATGCTGAATAGACTACGCTGCTCTGCTCAGCAGGATGTTAAAACCCCTCACACCAGCCCCAGTTTCTATTCCTCAGAGCAGCTGCCCATTAGCTCCCCAGTTCGACCGCCAGCGCTAAGCAGAAGGAAACCGGTCACGTCCACAGGACAAGCAACTACGTCACACGCAGTGTCACACACAGACACGGCCACTTCAAAAACGGTTGCATCTCAAGAGACTCAAAGCAGGATTTGGTCCCCACAGTTTGTATCACGAGCACGAAGCGAGCTTAGAGCAGGACTGTCACCGGAGCAGGAGCCGTAGGAGCTGCGGGGAAGGGCCGGTTGGTCAGTGGTGGTTAGGGCAGAGTCTACCACAGAACTGAGACTCAATTCTACAGGCCAGCAGCAGGGCTCGAGGCGCTCGGGAGGAAGCGGGACGTTCCAGGTCTTTGGCTCCGGAAAAGGCACGGGATTGCCAGAGGGCTTTTTGGTTGGGAAGCCACAACCCTTTTTGAGCAGGGCCATTTTGGGTCAAGTCACAGGTGGTGCGGGAGATGACAGAGGGTGGGAGTCTCTCGGTTCTACAGCTGGGGTGGGAGGGTGAGGGGAGCTTTCGGGAGCCACAGGACACGGGTGCAGGGGTGAGCACGGCAGGAGACTCGACACCGGTGTCTGAGCAAGTGCCAAGGCCTCAGAGCGGCCACTCACGTTCGATGACAAAAACGTTTGCCTGGGAACGGATCCACTTGACTTTGGGGCTCTTCGACAAGTGGTTGCGGTCGGGGTCGTTGCTGGCCCGGCACTCATACATGCCCGAGTCGTCGCTCGTGAGGTTTGCGATGTAGATGGTGCTGGTGGAGTGCAGGTTGTAGGTGGCGTTGATTTTGACACGGTCCTGCCGTGCGCCATCCCAGAGCTGAGCATAGGTCTCGTTTGGGTCGTTTCCCTCAAACCACCACTGGATCTCAGGGATGGGATTGCCAATCGCCTCGCAGTACAACTCGACGCTGTCCTGAGTCAGTCTCTTTTGAGACAGCGGCGACTTTATAAAACCAGCTATGAGTTGAAGAGGTATTAGTGCAAAGTGTTAGTGCAAAGCAAGAATTTACTCTCTACAAGCAAAACCAACTCAGCCGCTGAGAAGAGGCCACACGCAACCTTCAGACCAGGGTACTCTTCCCTCCCTCCCACACTGGCTGAACTCTGACCAGCTCTGCAGCCGACAATACTCCTGTGACTCCGCTGCAAACCAGCAGCTATGAGTTGAAGAGGTATTAGTGCAAAGTGTTAGTGCAAAGCAAGAATTTACTCTCTACAAGCAAAACCAACTCAGCCGCTGAGAAGAGGCCACACGCAACCTTCAGACCAGGGTACTCTTCCCTCCCTCCCACACTGGCTGAACTCTGACCAGCTCTGCAGCCGACAATACTCCTGTGACTCCGCCGCAAACCAGCACACACAAACCAGCACGGAGAATTTCCACTAGCCAAACAAGCAAGCCACGGTTTCGCTCGCCTTCTGCAAGGGGACGTGTCACAGAACGGGCCTCACCAGCGTGAGCTGAGAGCTGCGACACTGCCCCAGTCCCCAGCACTTCCAGTCTGGGCTGAAGACAGCAACGGACTCTTGTGGCAGGGGCTTACCCAGCTCCACACGACTCCCATGCCCACCCCTGCTCGCCAGGCAGCCCGGCGCTGGCCGTGCCCAGAGGAGGTGGTGCTGAGCCACCCGGACCCCTCGGCAGCCTCACGGTGCCAGGCGCCGCCCTGTCAGCGCCCTGCTCACAGAGATGCCCGGGAGATACTTTTAAACGTGATAGTAAGATAACAGCTTTTTAGGGGGAGGGATGTCTTGCAGTCTGCAAGATGTCGCAAGCCTGGTGAGGAAACGTGTAATTTGTTGTCATACAAATGGTGAAATCGGGCTTCTCAGCTCGGGCTTCTCAGCTCGGGCAAGATAACTTTGCAGAGCCGAGTTAGGGATAAATAGATTAAGAGCACGAGAAGCAGCCGCAGGCTACAGCCACAGTGTTTTCCAAACAGCTCGGGCAGAGAGGCCAGGAGCTCAGCTTCCGAAAACACAGTCCAAAGGTGGGTCCAGGAGCCACTGGACTGCGGAAAGCTCCGAGCTGCGCTGCCAAAATCTTCAGGCTACCAGCCAGGGCAGCGTGGCCACTGCGACCAGCAGTCCCCTGACACAAGCTGCCCCGGCCACAGCTGGGGGCAGGAAGGGAGGCTCCTTGCCTCGGGAAAAGACATCACCTGCTGCCAAGCCAAGGTGACCTACGTGACTCAGCCCCAGGCAGGTTTCAGAACTGGCTGGGTTGTGACACGTCCTTCCTGCACACCGACTCCGCGCCCGCCGCGGGCTCCCGGGGCAGCCCGCCTGCCGAGGTGGCTTCCAGGGAAGCTGTTTACTCACTTACCAAGAACTTAAGTTCATGATTATATATAACCCTGAATATGTGCACCATGACACGCAGGTACAGAGAGGTAGGCTTGGGAACAGTTTGTTTTTTAATATCTGAAGGTGTTTTAAGAAGAATTCTATGACCGTTTTTTGTGAGTGTAGAAACAAACCAGTATTATGAACCCAAATTCACTCAAACCCAAGAAAAGTACATGTAAAGTAGGTGTCAGAGTTCTAAATAAACCAATTCTACACTTCTTTTCCACATTTCAATTCTACATTAGCTTTACATACTAAAGCTATCAAAGTCTGCAAGAATACACATGCCTGGTCAAGGAAGGAGGGATGTGACTCTTATCCGAGACCAAGACGCTGTCAGGAGAAGGCCAACAGTGTTTTAATTTAAAGGACTGGGAGGTGACAGGGGCCCCAAAAGGTGTATGGGGGTGTCAGCTGCCTGCAGCTTTCTCATAAACCGAGTTCTGCCCCTTGAACCACTGACCTATGTGTGCCTGGGGGGGTCACACCACAGGCCTGCGACTAACGCTCCCAGCCACCCACTTCTGAAACCACGGAACTGACTGCAGCACCTGTAGAAGCCTGTCCTGTTTTCACCACTGCCTGCTGTAAAATGAGAGCTAGGAAGGATCAAGGGTGGTTGTTGGGTTGTTCGTTTTGGGGTGTTTTTGTTTTGGCTGGTTGTTTAACAGATACAAGGTGATTACCGTATGCTGACAAAATAAGCTGTGGCAAGGTTATTTTGCTCTGAGTTAGAGGGCACTTCATGTTGAAAGACAGGCTACAGAGCTCCAGCAGGCAGCAAGAACAGCAAGTATCATTTACATTCACACGGGATTAATACCCTCTCCTCCCAACACGAAGCAGCCCAGGCCACTGAAGCCCTGGTGCTGGAGGCAGCTGAGCACAGCCAGCACCAACCCACTGGGATCGATCGGAGCGACTCAAATGTTGCAGCTGGGGACAGGCTGTGAGCTGAAACCAGCTCACAAAGTCGAGATGCTCTTTGCAGATCTGAGCAGGACACTTCTGGGTGCAGGGTGGTGTCTGATCGAGCTGGACACTGGTGAAGGCAGACAAGACCAGATAATGCTCTTCTGAGTAACCTTCAAACTAAAAACAACCTCTCCCCCAGGCAGAGGGAGGAGTCCTGGGGCGTAAACAGCGTCTGGAGCCTGGCAGGAGCCTGCACCACCCCACAGGGCACACTCTCCTCCCTGGCATGACCTTTGTTTCTAGGCCTCAGAAGGGTACATCTGAGGCTCTGACACTTTTTGCCATGTCCACTAACAGCTGTCCCCTCAAGTTTTGCCTGAGCAGGCAGTCACAAGCAGCCAGGGCAGAGGCAAGCGCTTTCGGCCAGGCTGTGTCCTCCCGAGGGAGGAAGCCTGAGCACAAACCTGCCCACGCTCCAGCCGGGTGCCCTGCGTGAGGCACCACCCGCTGGGTCACTGCAGCGTGGAGGGGTTGTCTCTGATGGACTTGGCTCCACCGGGCCAGACGGAGCCGCTGCCGGGAGGC